AAGAGCTGTACAATCATTCAAGCTAGGATCCCGCTTGGGGATGGCAGGCCTCCGAACCTTAGCATATGGATACACTCTTGCTCCTGCCCCTCAATACCCAAGTACATAACAGTTCCAGGATTTCTGCTGAACCTGAAGCTGGAGATAGTGAAGCCACAGCCAGGCATCAGGACCCTGACCCCTCCCCTCACAAGGAGCAGGTCGAGGCAGTCCCCATCTACTTGTGAACGCTGTAGGTGACAGTATTTGCCCTTCTTCTGAAACACACAGTTGTGAGCATGGCCCAGGGAATGGGAGAGAGGTTTGTCACTTCCATTTCCACATGTCCTGTCTTTGAGCTAATAGTGGCCCCCGCCTATCAAAAGGTAAATTAGTGGGAGCTCCTAAGCTAGAACTTTACAAATGTGGATCTGAACAATACCTTGAACACGAGGTAATCACCTCTGGGGAGAGAAGCCAACCTCCTCCATGTTCAAGTTGGGAGGGCAGCCCCAAAGACGTACTATACATGACATGCTACTTGATAGGTGTGTTTTGTTAACCTGTGAGGTTAATATTGTAGAAGACGGTAACTATACCTTCCCATATTTTAGTAAGACTAGCAAAAGAAAAATATGGTCTTCATAGCCCAAGGATTTAGTCGGATATAGTAAGTCATTATAATGTATGTTGTCCAATATACTAAAAACACCAATGTTGTATTTTATAAACATGTTCTAAATGGGTAGTTCTTACAAAGCAGCTTACGTGTACTCTAATTAGAACTCAGATTTTACTCAGTAATATGTAACGGTTCAAACCCTAGAGATCTCTGAGTACCAGATTCAAATAGCAAAGGGAAATCCAGAAAAAGAACAACTTCTGACGGATCCACTCCCATCCTAAGACTCCAGCACGTAGTTGAGTTCCACAGTGACAAAATTCTGAGCTTTTGAGTTCTTCATTCCACAATTTCACCATTTCTTTCAAGACACAGAGACGTGTTGTCTCTAGCTATTTTTTCTTACAGACAAAATATAGGTGGAATTGTAGCCATATTGTATTTACCCAAATTGATGTCAATGGATCAGGGTAAGAGCAACTGGGCTTGGTGTCAAGATGACTGAATGTTCAAACCCATCCTGAAACACTTACCAGATGTAAGATCCTGGGCAGGTGATTTCACCTGAATCTGTCTTTTCTTCTATAAAAAGGGAGCAATTGTACCTACCTCACAGAGTTACTGTGTCAACCAAGTCAGATAATGTATGCGAATGGATTTGTAAAACTTAAAAGCACTGTTATCAATTGGGCTGTTTAAAAAAATACAACAAAGGTTACAAAAAGCCCCTTTCTGGGCTACTTAAAATGCTGCTTCTGCTTCCAGTGCTTCATATAGCATTCATAACCCAAAGCATCTCGGTCAGAGGGGCATCCGTTCTATTCTTACGGACCCAGAGAACTGGTTACCTGGGACTTTTATATCTAACAAGGCAGAATGGCCATATTCCTCTCATACCGGTTTTAATGGAAGTACATCCTACATATGGAATATCAGGATGCCTTGGGAAAATGATCTACACATCAAACTAGAAAACTTTCCATTCCATACCAGTTAAAAATGTAAAATATAGATCCCATAGAGCTTAATTGTATACTGGTAGTGCTCCAAGTTTTAACACAAGGAGACTTTTTTTTTCCATTTTCCTGGGATTGGCCCACAGCTATAGTGATAATAGACAGATGTTAAATCTGAATGCAATGTAGAATTTTCTATCATTTGTTTGCTATGCAGATTGGGTATTTTGCATGAGCATTCAAAATGCAGGTTTATTGTTTTAACTTCTTACATTTATTGTCTTCTACAACTAACTACATAACCTACAGATGGAAAACTCAAAATCTTTGATGGGTGGTGAGGAATAGCACGAAGAATCAGTTACAAAGAAAGACATTACACATAATGTCAGCAATGACTAGACTAGTTCTCAAAATATGTACAGGAGCTATCCTCATCCTGAAGGAGTGTCTCAGGAATTCCAAATGCTCGTATTCAACAGCTGGACCTATTTGTAAGACCTGGTCAATGAAAAACGCTGCAGTGTTTCCCGTTTATAGTCCCACCCTCCCCACTATTTGCCATTTTTGTGAAAGGGAAATACAACTCTGCCTGATTTCAATGACTCCAAATTGTACACATATCCTATGGCAACTGAAGGCAGCCAAAGCTATTAAGCCTGTTATGAAGACAACAGTTACCTTTAAGGAAAGCTAAAAGGATTTTCAGAAGAGGTAGAGGAACACTAAAAACTAACAGGAAAGTGCTGTGAAACGCTTACATTTCAGAAAACCAATAACTTCTAAATGCAAATGCTCCTAGGAGGCAGAGGTGTGAATTAAAATTGAATAGTTAAAAATAAACCACAATGGAAGTGTTTTTTGTTTTGTTTTAAAAGTATGCTTGTGTGTATAATGATGTACAGACTTTTTGGAGCTTTTCAATTTCACCACTTTCCCTTCCTCAAGGTACTGCATATATTTATTTTAAAAAATCAAACAAATTACAATTCTGTATTAACTCTTGGAAGTAACTGAAAATAATCTTAAGGTAACACAAAATCGGGCCAATATCAGTCCTAAACTGATTTCTATTCTAGCTCTGGGGCTTCAAATATAGTAAACTTTGCTATTCTGCAGTGAGGTGATTGAGTTAATCCGATACTGCAAACCATTCCAGTAAGTTATTCATTAAGTACCTACTAGGTTCAAAACTCTGTACTGGGCACTGGGGATACAAAGACAAGATGAGAGAGCTCTTGCCTTCATGAAGCACACAACTTACTGGTGGCAATACCACAGATATCTCAAAATGGCACATGGAAAGAGCAATGACTCCAGATTCAGAGGACCTGGGTCCAAATCCTCCCTAACATTTCCTATTAGATTACTTCTGAGTCCCCTCCAGCTCCAAACAAATGATTATAAAAGTATACAGCTGACAATCTGGGGAGAGAGCGCACAACTGAGCAAAAAGGTAATCAAGAAAAGCTTCCCGTAAAGACAGCATGAGCTAGGTCTGGAAGGAGACTTCAGATTCTAGGTAGACACGAGGAGCCAGCCCATTCTAGAAATGCTGCAGAGGCATCACTGAGGTCAGTTTTCCTGGAGTTCAGTGAGTTAAGTGGAGAGTAAGATGCACAGAACTTTGCAAGAGAAACAGGAGCCAGACTGGGATAGGTTTTAAATGCCAAGTTCTTGACTTAGTAAGGTTATAATTGGGTCTAGTTCTCTTTTGGAATAACACCAACCACGTCACCAGTTTTCCAAGTGAGTATTAGAAAAGCCTTAAAATACTAAAACCCAAACTACCGTGGACACTAGGTCATGTTTCAATGCCTCAGGAAGTGTTTTCCAGGATTTCTCAACGCCTCCTTCAGCATTCACAGTTATCCTTAAGACAGGTAAAGCACCGAAGGAAGGGAGCCCACAGAAATGAAAACCAATCCCCCTTACACACTTCAGGTGGACAAGCAGATGTTAGCTGTGTCATTCCACTTTTCTGATGATTCTCAAAGTTGCTATTACAGGTTTTGCCAGGTGCATTCTGTGGCCCAGGAAAAGATGGCTACTGAAGATCACAGGCTTACCCTGGGATCAGAGTTAGCAGCAGGTCTTCTCCACCACTACCTTTACAAGGCTTACTGACATGCTGATTGCTCAGACTAGTGACTCTTGGATTTCAAACCACTGGTACTGGGATGGAATGTGTCCAGATCATTACTATACTTAGAGAAGAAGATAGGAAATAGACTTGTCCTCTTATCACCTATTCTAATGCACAGAGTCAGAGGAGCATCTGATTAACCCAAATGTTGGATAAGGATTTTTAACCCTTGAGTGCAGTACCTACCTACTAAGTGAGGTTTGTCAGGACTAATAGTTTCTACTTTGAGCCTCTTGGGCCTATTTTACTTATAAAAAAAAAAAGAAAAAAGAAAACGCAATAGGTTAACAAACAAAAATAAAATTTATTTGCTCCATGACAAATAACTAAAATTAGTTTTTTTATAAAAGCAATTCCTTTCAGATACTCTGATTAACCTTTAAGTGACATAAAAAAAGCTTCAGCATCCTTTTTAATGCCAATATTTTACACAATTTAGATATAGCTATTGAAGTAAATTTTAGTAATAAAAAAACACAAAAAAAGGAAAGAAAAAAAGGAAGAAAAAGAAAAGTAACCCACTGAGAAGCTTATGTATCTAGTAAGGTTTGGATAGTATCGGTTTTTAAAATTACACCCAGAATTTGAATTAGCCTAATTGCCATCCCAATCAATTATCTATTGTTGGACTCCTGGTACTTTGTAAGCAAAATTGAACTAATAAACATAACACCCAATGATTGGATTGTCTGTAGAGAATCTGCTATGTAATACTGGGTTTAGAACTGGAAATCTTCAATTATGCTACAACTTTATATATTTGGTTCCACTGATTAAAAATGCAGTTTCAAAAAGTCTGCTTCTGTGGTAAATTTCTAGAATTAAATTATAAACACAAAGCATTGTAGTGTAAATATCGTACTGCTGAAGAGGTATTTGTTGGAGATTAAATGCTAAGAACAGTCAACTGTCAAAATTCTGACCTTTCAAAACACTAAGTTTGTATAAAGCAAAATTTTGAAAACCAACAATTTGCCTTTAAAGTCTCAAAAACATTTCAGTACCAGTTGAAGCACTAACATGTAAACCCTAAAGTTACACCTGTCCACTTTTCAACTGTGAACTCAACATAGAACCAATTACTAAGTGAATATCCAAAGTAGAATAGTTTCAATGCAAAATAAACATAACATACTAAGAAAATTAACACAACTTGCACAGAAACTCTTGCAATAAGTTGTCAAAAAATTCAGAATTAACTTTCCATAATAGTGGAAAACAGGAACTGTCTGTATCTTCGTAATACTCAAAAACAGTAACTATTGTCCACAACACTGGAAGCTTCAGCAGAGAGGATTCAAACGGATTTAAGCACAGCCCTACTTCTTCTAAAGTGATGTACTCTTTTGTCCTGGAAGAAATATACATATTCCATTTACTTCAGTGAAAAATTCCTATTATTGATATAACCTAAAAAAAAAGAACAAGATTATAAAGTACTACATGTGAGTAATTATAACAAAATATTATTTATAAAACATAACATTTTAACATAGGTCATGAGAGACTATATAAATGTACAGTTTTCTTTCAAAAACAGAACCTCTTAGAAGAATTAGAGTCTTGTGAAATACAAGTTCTGAACACCTTTCAGCTCTAAGAATCTGGCCAATCTGATTTATCTGTTCAGTTAAAAAATTACACATCAAAACTTAAGAGAGGACACTGAAATTATTAAGTATCATTTTTGACAATTGATATACGGTCAAAATTGTTACTGATATTAATGTAATTATCTATTTCTGCTGGTCAAAACTTCCAACTATTTTTAAATAGTTAAAAAAAAAACTTAACTAAAGAACATCCAGCAGAAATCTTCCTTCACATTCCTTTTTAAAATCCCATTATGTTAAATAGATAGAAGTCTAAAAAGCTTGATTTTTTTCCCCTTCCCTAGTATGGAGATCCACAGAGCTTTCATAGGAGTGAAGGGGAAAATGAGAATATATAGAAATAATTTTTAAAATGTGTTCCTTCCATAGGTAGAAAGAAGCTAGTATACTACATGTATCCTACCTCGAGACTCCTTATATTTGCCCTAATTTCTACTGATGACAGGATACAGGGTCCTAAGGAAGGGGAGAGGCAGAGACCACTAGTAAATACAGTATTTGTGCCATTTAACAAAACTGACTTAACTATGTCTTTTTTCTTGCAAGGACTGTGCCAACTTTGTAAACCTTAAAATATTCTGTAAATAAATGTGAATGATACTCATATGAAGCTGGCAAAAAACCACCAACCAACCCGGCTTATATTATGTCAGTAAGGTTCTCTCCTAGAAATCTGTTTCCTCGGCATGAACTTCTATTACAGTGAAGCAAAAGCTTTAGCATCAGGAAGGCATACTGTAGATGCTCATGAACCCTAAAGGAAAACTTTACCTGAAAAGCTTTTCCCTCCCTTTTTGATCTTTAAACAGATACAGAGGAACTACTTATTCATCCCCCACCCAACGCCTGCCCCTACAGTCTACAAGGAAGTGGGTCATCTTGCATACCTTCAGACAGGGCTATGGTCTGATAGAAGCAACAAGAAAACTTACATGAGCTATTGCTGGAAAATAATAAAAGTAAAAGCCCACAATTACATGGTATTTCCTTCTAGCCTTGTGTGCCATTTTCACAAATGAGAAAACTGAAGCAAGAGGTGAAATCACTTGCCAAAATCCTCCAGAGCTGGTATACGGCAGGGCCTCTACACCATGTCAACCCTAGCTTTCATTAAGTAATATTCTTACTCCCAAGGAAGATTATCCAAGTTTAGTCCTGCTAGGGCTGGGCTGCTCTCGTGAGTCATGGCCTCTTTAGGGTTGCAGAACCTTTTTGGGGATTGAGGGAGCCCATCATTGGAATATCTCCCAGGAGGGAGAAAGACACAGAGAAATAAAGAGGGATTTGGGCTCTGTGGGCATGTTAGGTAGGTGCCATCCGTCATGCACAGTCCCTTGTCCATACATGTAGTGGTGGAAGAAAGACATTCTCCTTCCACTGCCTTATGGCACCAAAAAAAAAAAAATGGCCCAAAGAATGTTCCTCTACAATGTTTGTACCATGAGTCTCATTATCAGCTGTCACATTCATAAATTCCCTGAGAAGAGTTCTGGGAAGTTCAACAGAAGGGCTAAGTGATTTGTCCAGTCTCACAGAGTGATTTAGGAGAAGAGACAGAACTGAGGGTCAGGCCTGGACCTCAAATTCAAACTTCCATGCTTTGATGACTCTGAATCAGCTTCTACTTTTTTTCTCTCATCAACTCATTGCACCTTATTCCAAAAAAACTACCTAACTTTCCCCGAGTAATTCATTCATAGCCACCATATTCTATATTGCTTTCCACATCTAGACCTAACAATCTCTTTTGACTCACTTCTTTCAAGAAGGCTTTGGAATATAATCTCTTGCTACAGGCTTCTTCCCTAAGGACAAACTAGATATCAAAGTTTTAAACAGCATGCTGCTGGACCTAACTCACTGTGATTTATTTCTTTACAAGTGAGTGCCTACAGTTTGATCAAGCGGCCCCACTAGCCAGAATGTGACTAATATAAAAGGAATATTTTAAAACTTTAAACTAAATGATAATTTTTTTCAAACTTCTCACTCTATACCTTGAAGTAGTCATCTTGTGTGACAAGAGCATTTCTCAGCCTTGTCTCTGGATTAAACAAACAGGACACCACTGTCTGTATGCTTCGGTCCACAGATTTCTGAAACACAGAGCTTGTTAGTAGCATGTGTCTAAAGACTATATATACCTCTTATTCAATACTAAAAAGATCATCTTAAAAGTTTAACTGACAGCACCGTTCCTTTCATTGTAAGACTTCTGACAGTCACGAGTACTAACAAATGTCAACAAGTTCTATTGCTAAAAATTTTTGCCCATGACTTTCTCTTAAATTTTCTTAATAATAGCAATAAAGACCAACCCCGATTTTTTCAGAAAAATATTATATTATAGAGCTCAATACTTTTAGTCTTAACAGTTCCAAAAACATTAAAAACTTAAGAAAATAAAATTTCATGTTTTTTTGTTAAGTAAACTGTAATCATGAAATTAAATCAGTTTTATATACTCTAAAGAATGCACAAAGTGTCATACATATTAATAAAATGGCAAATTAGCATCTGGATGGACAAATACTAAATATTAGACAAAGAAAACCATAAATTAATCATGACCCTGAAGCAAAATTTTTGAAGCCACCAACTTATTTTCTTCTGTTAAATGATTATGTGCTTAATAAATATTTGTTAATTAGTTAAGACTGATTGTGGGAAAGGGGGGAGGAGGAAGGAGAGAGGTGGTGCTCTAGACCTGTAATTTAATTGCTTTAAGATTTCCCTAGTCTGGAGCCAACTGTGTGTAATTTATCATCCAAAGAGAGCAACCTGAGAGACCTAAGAGGTTAAGTAATTTGCCTGTGGTTACAAATTTAGTTCAGTGCCAAGGCAGAACCTGAGCCCAGGTCTTCCTGACTCCAAGGTCAGATGTCTATTAACCTGTACTGCCTTTCAACACTACGATGATCATTACAGATAAAAGGATGATGACAATTAAAGGATAAAAAAGAATTCCAGAAGCAGGGGCTTACATGTTCATATTGAAAACTTGGGGCTTCCAAACTCTCATGTGTTAACTTTAGGATTAGAATTCATCTCTACAGCCAGAAATTTGGGAAAAGTTTACCAATTTCACAAGGACTATCACTGAGTTTTGGTGACAACCAGAATGTAAAGAGATGACTATTATGCAGGCTGAAATCACCCCCTTGCCTTTTGCTGGCTATTCCCGGAGGGCTGTGTGACCTCATGGACAGAGCACTCTGTCTGCGGGACTTCAGCTCCTGGGTCCACTTCACTGCAGTGATAATTCACAGCTGTATAAGCCTACATTTAAAAAATAAAAATAGAGTCAGAGGTGCTAAAAGACTTTTCTAATATCTTCTCTTCCAAAGTACATACTGATGCTATAATTTAGAAGGCAGACTTCATAATCTGACTGAATCCCAATCCATCTTATTCTGTTTCACAAAATTTATTTTAAGTAAAATCATCTTACAGGAAAAAAAGAATCTTCCAGTTCAGAAAGCCAGCCTAAAGAACATATTATTTGATAAATCCATCTAAATTTCTAACTAATCAACTGAATGACTAGGATCTGACGCCAATATGTGTCCATTTATTATACATGTAATCTAAATAATACATATGTACATGCACTTGTGTGCATGTGGACCATCCCTATGATTTCATTGACACAAAGACAACACACACAAGCACCTTTCCTATAATTTACATTCTTAGAATTGTCTGGGGCTCTGAGAGGTCACCAAATGTAGGCTTATACAGCTGTGAATTATCACACAGCATTGGTACCAATGCAGCCAACATAGGTCAGAGGCAACACTTGAATCCAGGTCCTTCCTTCCTCCAAAGCCAGTTCTCTAGCCACTACTCCATGCTCTATCTGTACTCCATAGATAATGACATGTAAATACACGTGGCAGACTATCTGACCCTTTTAAATCCTAACTCCTCTAAACGCAAAATCTACCACAATGTCACGTACTTTCCTTGTACCTTTAAATTCAAACTTCATTGAAAATTTCCTATTATTTTTCTTTTCCTTGTGGTAAAAAAATGAGCAGCAGGGACTAAAAAAAAATCTTTTTATCTGTAATGATCATTACAAAGGTACCAATGCTGTGTGCAAGACACTAGATGCTATTTAGGAATACAAAATAAACTGGTGACTTAACTCCTACCACAGGAGTAGGTTACAAATCTAGTGACAATGGAATTAATGAAACATGTCACACCTGATGACAGAATAGCCAGTCAACAAAGATAACAAACGACGTTCTATAAAACCCTAAGGAAGATGAGGAAGTTTATATTTTGTTAATTCCCCTTACCGGAGGTATAACATAACTCCTTTGCTCCCCAGCAGGCCACTGTGGAGGTACCTTAAACCAAAACAAACACTGATTTTGCAAATATTTCTTAAAGTATCTAATAACTGAGATACGGTTAGTTATTTATCGTGTTTATTCATGTTAATGGAGAATAAAAGAAAGTTCATACAATTTTGTTTCTGTTAAATTCACCCTAATTTTTCTCTACTTTTTTTGGAGTCAGGTTTCAAGCAGACATGGCCATGGCATAGTTTTCGGAATTTCTTCCTCTAGAGGAGGGTCAACATCTGAGAAATATTTGAAGAAATTAATCTAAAATCAGGGATAGCTGACCTAGCTGAACTTCAGTGCTACATAGGAATTAGGTAATCTATTTTATTTCAACCTCTCCTCATGAAAAAAAAAAAAAACAAAACACACAGATCAAGTATACTATGCTAGATTACTTAACTACGTATAGGTGGGAAGAGTTTTTGTAAAAACATAGAATTCTTCTTACACGACAGAGAACTCAACATATCTTCTAACGTATACAGAAATTTGGTGAAGGAAGTCAAACTTCAGAACATAAAAAAGAGCATTCCTCAAATTTCAACTACTAAAACACCATGTTTCATTCCTGTCTTTGGCACACTTCCCTCGTTAAAAGGGCAAAGTATTTGGGGAAAAATTAGCATCAAGTGAAGTATACTAACATCGAAAGAATGTAGTTGTACTTTTTTTTTTGAACTTACCTGATAGTTATATATAGGCAGCTGATATCCAGTGATGAATTGGACTGGTGAACTGGGATAAGGAGGATATGCCTAAAAATGAAATGTAATTAGTGTTTTTCTATAACAAGGTACTATTTTAAAAAGTTTTTTTTTAATCAGAGGAATATTTCTAAATTAAAGAAATTTATACATTTAAGAAACCTAGGCATGCTCAAATAAGTTGAATATGTACAAAATATGCAAAAATTACAACTCAGTAAACCCGATCCTATACAGAGGAAAAATGTTTTCTGACGTACATTTTCATTATCAAATGTTAGCCGTTTTCCAGGGAAAAAGGGAATTAAGCTTGTGAGTGAAGTGGCTGACTTTCAATAGCAAAAACAGAATTTCAGATGTCTAATGAGATCCTTAAGTCCCTGCTAAGTAGTGGATAGCAAAACTAGGACAATCTTCAATTAAGTATCATGCCCATCCTACACCTCTCTGATATCCTTTTACACTGCACTTTTCTCACCCAATTCATGCAACTTTTTCAACCCCACATCAAGTCTCTCCACTGTCCCTGGATGATCAGCAACTCTAATTCTTTGAAGACTACATGAATTGCTGCATGACGAGCCATTAAGAATCACACTATTGAAACCGCTCAAAATACCTGTAAAAAATGGCTCTAAACAAATTCTAAAGCAGCAGAAGCCACAAAAAGACAGAGTGAAAGAATCACACTATTAAAAAAGACAAGCCCTTGTTTTAGAGAAAGTTGTCATGAGAAGCACTGTACAATACAATTTCCCAAGGACAATCCAGTTTACTCCTTCTGCTCAATTCTGGACTTATTTCACTAATTCATCTGCATTATCTATCCAAAGTATAGGTACTAATGGTTGTCCATCCAAAAGCATCTCATAGTACAGAAAACAGGAATTCTTTGTCCACTTGCTTTTGTGTGTGACTAATTAGACCAAACTTGAAGAGCTATAGATCTGATTCAAGTAATATTCCAGAGCTTGAAATGGACAACATAAAACACAAGAAGGAACATCCACAGCACCATCTCTAGGGAATCCCTCTTCTATTTGGATTCTACACAGAATATTCTCCTACTGACTTAAGTCCTATAAGCAAGAGTGGCTCCCTGCTTTACACTTCACTTGATGTTAATAAGCAGGTTAAACAAAGTCATCACTGTCCTCACAGGCTTTGAGCAATTAACTTCATATTATTTTGATACACGTATTGAAAATGCCCTTTCGGAGAGAAGCACAGTGTTCCACTCCCCCAAATCAAATTATTTCCTTAGTCAGTAAACATGCCCGGCAAGATCTTTTATTCTCTACACCTCTCACTCAAATCTGACTTTTAAAATTGAAGTTGCTATGTAATATCATTTATGAAAGCTGCTTATTCCCTTTCTCACGCCTTCATCACAGATGCTCTCAGAGTGTGCGTAGATTTTTCTCATAAAAACTTTGTAGAGACATGGAGTATGCATTTGGGTTGGTATTATTCTCTTCGTCACTTTTTAAAGAAGTATTAAGGTCTGAGATTTCCCCGCCCCCCAGCCTTTGTTAATTTTCCCTTTTAAGATGCTTCAATGAACTCAAAATTGTGGTGTCTTCAGAATTTCTCTGTGCACTATGTCTATTCTCCATCTTTCCTCCCAATCTGTTTTCTTTCATGCTATTTCTTTTTTTTTTTGCTTTTTGGTGAGGCAATTGGGGTTAAGTGACTTGCCCAGGGTCACATAGCTCGTAAGTGTCAAGTGTCTGAAGCCAGATTCAAACTCAGGTACTCTTGATTCCAAGGCTGGCGCTACATCCACTGTGCCACCTTCCTGCCCCTTTTCATACTATTTCTATTTTTTAATGCAACACAGAACCTGACCTGAGATTAAAGTCAAAATGAGGTACTTACAACAAAATGACAGAGGTGTTTCTTATAGAAATCATTATAAACCTTTTCTTTCCCATTTTTATCTGTTTCTTGTTCTCCCCATTGCACCTTTATCTACCCTTGGGATGACTCTGCTTAATTGTGTATCTCAACAGGCTTTCCACATATTTGTTTTTGCCTTCACTGCCCCTTGTGTTGAGTCAGTATTGTGTACAATCTTCCACTATCCTCTCCCATGTAAAATCTAACAAACCAGTTTTTACTCTGAAAGTGTACACCTTTCTACTTTTATCTCGAGGCATCAAGTGCTTGCTGTGATTAAGCATCCTTAGGATATGTTAATGGTCTGTCAGTGCCTGTCCTTTCATCTATTTCCCATTTTCTAGCACAGGAAGCTTCTTTCAACAGAACAGGATCAAACTGTCATCTGGATGCAAAAATCATCTTTCATTTTCATTCTTCTTTTGACGTGGATGTTCACGTGGTCTGACAACACACATATAGATTAGGAAACACAGCCAGTCATCTCCTATCTGCCCAACGCCTCATCTTTATTCTCACAGTACTCAGGATCAATTGTAAGCAAGAGTCTAAAACCCTTTCCTTTCCTCCCTCATTTCTTATTCCTTTGTTTTCCAACAGTTTTTGCCATCTTTGTACTGACATCATCGAGCTTTTAAAGTGTGTTGATTTAATTGGGAGGGTCTTATCAAAGTGACTGTATAATTGGTACCTCTTCAATCTCTGCAACAGTTGCCATATAATCTGAAATTATCTGCATGATGGTCTTTTTGCAAATGCTTATCTTGGGCACTGCAACGTAAGATGATCAAACATCTCTTGGAAAATTGTTCCTTTCTTCTTACTCTTTGGACATATGATAAAGTCAACTCTGCCAACTTCTTTATTTGCCTTTACAAGGAGAACCTCAAAGCTCCTTCCCTGAGGGGCAACTTCATTTTGCCTTATGGTTTCATTACTATGGAGAATGTCACATTTGATTATAATTCAATTATTCTACTAAGTACCCCTTCTGCCACTGAATAAGTGTCATTCATTTAGAAGATAAACAGCTAAGAATGTGTATAGACAACCTAAAAGCCATATGGTTCTTGGCATCCAGTAGACCCCTTATCATCACTGAGGAAGGCTTTAATGCACCTTGGCTAAAGGAGTCATGGCTTTGTCATCAGTGGGCAACTACTCAAAAGGAGGACCCTCTCTGTACTTTGCTAGGCTAGTCCTTGGAAAACAGTCTGTTGCCAAGACTATGATTCAAAACTGCTTTAGCACAACAGAACTAGCCAGAGTTCATTTTCCAATGACACTGTCTTCAAGAACCCAGAATCCTGATGAGGCACAGGATAGTACTTTGTAGAGATTACGCTACATAATAGGGTCTTACTGAATGTTTCTTGATTATGACAAGTGGTATGCACAACTCAGTCCAGAACGAGCAGGCACCTCTCCCTCAAAATGCCAAGGAGAGCAGAAAGGACTTTTAAGCCATAGTCATAAAGTAAGGAAAGCAACAAGGACAGAATAGACCTGCTTGAATAAGATGGTATAATGTTGACAGAGAACAGAAGAGCTGCTTAACTCTAATTTTGCTTCCATCATCTTCAGCAAGGAGAATGGGCTTTATGCTGACAAACTTTGGGCAGACATTGGAGAGAGAGAGGGCAACTGAAGGTCAAGATAAGGGAAGGGCTCTAGCTACTTTTTAAATGTCTTCAAGTTTTGGGGCCCAGATGAAATAATAATCCAGAGTACAGAAAAAACTCGTTGAAGTGATTACTAGAAGTATTCTTTGAAAAAACCCCCAAAAAATAAAAGCCCCAGAAGACCAGCAACAAAAACTTTATTCCAATTAAAAAAAAAGTCTAAACTTAATTCCCTATTAAATTATAGAATGAACTATTAAATTGACACCTGTGAACGTTTAGAAAGGAATACAGACCTATCAGTTCAAATCAACCTCATTTCCTTTTTTAATAGGATTCATTAAGAGAACAGATCAGAGAAATACCACCTTACACAACCTATGTCTCAACTTCAATAAAACTTTTGACAAAGCTGCTCCATAATTTCCTAAGATAGTGAAATGTGGATTAGATGAGTACAGCAAGTAGATTCACTGCTGAAGAATACATTGTACTCAGAGTCTTATGCCTTTTAACATTTTTAATCAACAACTTGTTTGAAGATATAAAAGACACATCAAGTCTGTAAATGTTAGAAGCTTGGAGAAAGAACTGCTAACACAGTAGATGAAAGAAATAAAAATTCAGTAAGACTTCAACAAGTTACTAGAAGGTAGGGTAAAAACAAAGATGACTGTTAAAATATTAAACACAGGACTTTACATGTAATTCTATTAAATTTCAACTATATGGGAGGTGGAGCCAAGATGGCTGAGTGAAAGCAGTGACTTGCTTGAGCTCTCCCCCAAACCCCTCCAAATACCTGTAAAAAAATGGCTCTAAACAAATTCTAAAGCAGCAGAACCCACAAAAAGACAGAGTGAAACAAATTTCCAGGCCAAGATAAACTGAATGGTTGATTCTAAAGGTATATTGCGCCGGACTGGGGGAGGAGCACAGTTTGGCGTGGCACACAGGCCTCAGCAAACTGAATCACTGGCAGCTGTGGCGATTTCCAGACCTCTCAACCCACAAATGCCAAAGACAACTTAGAAGGTCAATGGGAAAAGTCTATTTCTGCGATGAGAGAGAGAAGTTAGGTCCCAGTCCCAGATACTGAGCGAAGCCCCACAGCGGCAGCTGCTTCCTGAGCTTCCGGCGAACAGACTGAAGGGGAATTGAGTGGCTGATCAGAGGGGGACTGCAGGGATCTCTCTGCTGAAGCAGGATTCTCTTGCTTTGCTTGTGCTTGGATCTGGGTCACAGTTCAGGGTGGCGGCCCTGGGGCGAGGATCATTGGTATGGTGGAGCTTGTAGTGGTGGTAGAGAGGAAATCCTCCTCACAGTTCCAAGACAGAAAAGAGTGCTTGTGGTCACTCACAGACCAGAACACAGGCCAGGAAAGGAATAAACACCTCGTCCTTGATCATAGCACCTTGGAAGAACTGAAAATTTACAGGTCCCTAGAAGTATCTCTGAAAATAGCTGCACAAAACCCCCGAAGCTTGGGACAGTACATTCTCCACATTGGAAGAAGACCTCTACCTTAACAAAGAGTTTGTAACTCAAGTAATTGACTGGCATCACGAGCAAGCAGAGCAAAAAGAGTCAGACCACAGAATCTTTCTTGGTAACAAAGAAGATCAAAACATACAACCAGAAGAAGCAACAAAGTCAAAGCTCCCACATCCAAACCCTCCAAGAAAAATAAGAATCAGTCCCAGGCCTTGGAAGAGCTCAAAAAGGATTTTGAGAAGCAAGTAAGAGAAGTAGAGGAAAAACTGGGAAGAGAAATGAGAGTGATACAAGAAAATCACAAAAAACAAGTCAACATCTTGCTAAAGGAGACCCCCAAAAAATACTAAAGAAAATAACACCTTAAAAAATAGCCTAACTCAAACGGCAAAAAAGGTCCAAAAAACCAATGAGAAGAATGCCTTAAAAAGCAAAATTGGCCAAATGGAAAAAGAAGTCCAAAAGCTTACTGAAGAAAATACTTCCTTAAAAATTAGAATAGAACAATTGGAAGCTAGTGCCTTTATGAGAAATCAAGACACTGTAAAACAAATCCAAAAGGATGAAAAATTAGAAAACAATGTGAAATATCTCACTGGAAAAACAACTGACCTGGAAAATAGATCCAGGAGAGAGAATTTAAAAATTATTGAACTATCTGAAAGCCACGATCAAAAAAAGAGCCTAGACATCATCATTCAAGAAATTTTCAAGGAAAACTGCCCTGATATTTTAGAACCAGAGGGCAAAATAGAAATGGAAAGAATCCACCAATCTCCTCCTGAAAGAGATCCCCAAAGGAAAACTCCTAGAAATATTGTAGCCAAATTCTAGGATTCCCAGGTCAAGGAGAAAATATTGCAGGCAGCCAGAAAGAAACAATTCAAGTATTGTGGAAACACAATCAGGATAACACAAGATTTAGCAGCTTCTACATTAAGGGACCACAGGGCATGGAATATAATATTCCAGAGGGCAAAGGAGATAGGATTACAACCAAGAATCACCTACCCAGCTAAACTGAGTATAATCCTTTGGGGGAAAAAGTGGTCATTCAGCATTCTTGATGAAAAAACCAGAACTGAATAGAAAATTTGACTTTCAAGTACAAGACTCAAGTGGAACATGAAGAAGTAAACAAGAAAGAGAAATCATAACAGACTTATTAAGGTTGAACTGTTTACATTCTGCATGGAAAGATGATATTTGTATCTCATGAGTCCTTTGTCAGTATTAAAGTAGTTGGATAGAAAAAAATTATATGTAGATAGATAGATAGATAGATAGATAGAGGGCACAGGGTGAGTTGAAGATGAAGGGGTGATATCTGAAGAATAAAATTAAGGGGTGAGAGAGGATTATACTGGGAGAAGGAGAAAGGGAGAGGTAGAATGGGGTAAATTATCTCACAAAAACAGAAAAGGAAAGGCTCGTACAGTGGAGGGAAAACGGGGGAAGGTGAGAGGGAATGAGTGAATCTTATTCTCATCAGATTTGGCTTAAGGAGGGAATAACATACACACTCAAATGGGTATGGAAATCTATCTTACCCTACAGGAAAATAGGGCAGGAAGGGGACAAGAGAGCAGGGGGATGATAGAGAGGAGGGCAGATTGGGAGAGGGAGTAATCAGAAGCAAACACTTCTAAGGAGGGGACAGGGTCAAAAGGAAGAATAGAATAAACGAGGGTTGGGACATGATTAAGGCAAATAGAGTTAGTTTTTCACAAAATGACTACTATGGAAGTGTTTTGCCTAACTGCACATGTATAACCTGTATCAATTTGTTTGCCTTTTCAATGAGGTTGGGTGGGGAGGGAGGAAGGGAGAAAATCTGGAACCCAAAGTTTTAGAAACACATGTTCAAAAAAATGTTTTCACACGCAACCCTATTCTGACCTACAGGAAAATAGAAGGGGAAGGGGATAAGACAAGCAGGGGAGAGATAGAAGGGAGAGCAGAGTAGGGGAAGGGGTATTCAGAAGGCATGCCATCTTGGGGTGGGGGAGGGGATGATATGGGAGAAAATTTGGAACTCAAAGTCCTGTGGAAGTGAATGTTGAAAACTAAAAATAAATAAATTTTTAAAAATTCAACTATATGTGTATGGAATAGTGGAGATTCCTGGCTTGGCAGCAATTAAAGCTGAAAAAGATATGAGTTGTCTTACTAACTGTAAAGCTCAGTATGAGTCAAAGGTGTAATGTGATTGCTAAAAACAAAACTAATGAAGCCGTAGGTTTTATTAATATAAGGACCCATTTCTGGTAAAGGGAAGCAATAATATCACTGTGATCTGAATAGTCAGACTCTATATAAAGCAGAGTTGAATGCTGAGAACTACATGTTTAATGGTAATATTGACAAACATGGACATGGCCAAAGGAAAGCAATGAACAAAGGACCTAGAAATGTTTCACTTGAAGACAAGATCACATGGAGACACAACAGCTGTTTTAAAACATTTTATGTGCTGTTATGGGAAAATAGTAAAAGAAAGTATGTGACCCCAGAAATCCAATGGGCAGTTACCACAGGGAAGCAGATTTCAGCTCAGTATAGGGAAGAACTTTGTAACAATTAGAGGTCTCCAAAAATGGAACAGGATCCCCTTGTGGGGTAGTGAGTTCCTCATCATTGGAAGCGCTCAAGCAGAAGTTAGATAACCTTTTATCAGGGATATTACAGAGGATATTCCTAAATTAGGTACCAAGTTAGACTCAATGATTCTTAAGGTTCCCAGACTGGTTCCATGATTTTGGATTATAGTAATACATGAAGAAACTGAAAAATTTAGAGCTCAGATAACTTTTACCTGGACATACTGAGTGATGGGGTTCATCATAGCTGGAGGCTGCATATAGGTCTCTGTGTTTGGATTACTCCAGACACTATGAAACTGCGGTGCTGGTGGAGGGTTAAAAACCAAAGGACGTGGCTGCGCGTGATAGGCACCTTTAAAAGGAAAAAAAAGGCAAAATAATAACAATTTCAATATTGGAAAAAACTATTGTTGTAACAACCAAAAAACTCTCCCCAAACCCTTCCATATATGTACTCACATAAATTTTGTTTCCTGATTGCCGGTCCCAGTTTCAACTTTTTACCATGGAAATTTATCTGTGACTGGGGGGAAAAGAAAGTAGTAGTTTTCCCAGTGTCTTTCCTAAAGATGCCTATCGGAGTTTACTGTAGGGAGCTGTGGAAGACCTGGATAAACTACTCTGCCTCAATAATAACTAACGCTTCCTGACTAGAGAAATGCAGGACGGTCAGCTAAACTAAGCTCTGTCATTAGACAGATGCTTTTATTTTATTCAGTCTTTTCCTTTCCCAAATAGAACACACATAACAAGTAACAATTCTTTCTACCCTGGATCCATCCCCTCTCTAAAACTGGGGAACCAATTACAGAGAAATGTTTAGGATTTCTGGCAAGTTAGTAAATGGTTTAAGTTTCAAAACTATAGGATGGGAAGAAACTAGCTCTGTTTACAAACATATGTAACTACTTCAAAGGAATCAAAATACCATTACCACCAAAAGCCAAAATAAAATTTTTTTAAAAGATTACTTACTTCTACTATTTTCTGCACATCCACATCATTATAAAACGAAACAAATCCGTAGCTAGAAAGGCAGATTAAAGATGATTAATAGGATATGCTATCATCATCAAGCAATTATAATTTCAGGAACTTTCTCCCTCTCAGGTTTTATGAAATCACACCAGATAGAAATTAGGATGTAACTTTTGGGAAAAATCCTTAATTCTTGAGATATCATACCTATTTTATATAAGAGGAACCTATCTTGGACGGTCTTCCTATTACACTCACTTCTCTATTCTCCACAGTCAATAATCAATACAATTTAGGTGCCCAGGAAGTATCTGTGGATTGATTGTAACCCTAGTTTAGACTACTAACTCCCTCCAAGTCTAAGGCTCAAGGGCTATTTCCTAAGAGAGACCTTTCCCAACTCCCCCAGGTTCATACTCCATCATAACTTTGTACATCTCATATTTATTTACGTATCTGTATATGTTTTATGTCTACCCCCACCCCCAAGTAGAATAGAAGCTCCTTGGACTAACTACCAGTGCCCAGCATATTAAAAGGGCTATTTTAATTTCTTTTAAGTAGGCTATTTTTTAAAAAAAAGGTTAAATTAAATCTCTAATGTCTTGCTGTATTTAAACCCCCAACTTCTACCTTTCCACCCTTTCCAACTACTCTTCACACATGCTCTCTCCCACCCCACATTCTTTCTCACACTATTAGCTTGAAACCAGCAATGTATAAATAGAATATTGGGAATACTTTATAAATTTCATTTCAGTAACTATTAATGAAAATAAACTGCTAAAATACATTCTTTTTTTTAAACCAATATGGCTAAAACTTTATAGTCCCTTTTTAATTAGTGAACTGATTTTTCTACTTAAGAGAGTGCTGGTAATACTCCTGAGGAGCCATTTATTTAGAAAGCCTGCATTCACTGACTGAGATCTTAAAATTTCATGTCATGAACAAGCTGACTTCAGAAAAACCTGGAAAGACTTGTACAGTCTGATGCTGAGTGAAGTGAGCAGAACCAAGAGAACGTTGTACACAATAACAGCCAGGTTGTGTGATGACTAATATTGATAAACTTAACCCTTCCTGGCAATACAAGGATCTAAGACATCTCCAGAGGCCTTGTGATGGAAAATGCTATCCATATCCAAAGAAAGAACTACGGAAGTTGAATTGCTATTTTTTTTCTCTTCTGTTGAGTTTTGTTTCCACTTTCTGATGGTTCCTCCTATTGGTTTTAATTTTTACTTACAACATCACTAATGTGAAAATATGTTTAATATGAATGTAAATGTATAGCCTATATCAGATTGTATGCCATCCTGGGAAGAGTGGTAGAGAGAAATAGGGAGAAAAATTTTAAACTCAAAAGCATATGGAAGTGATTATAGATAAGTCAAAATAAATTAATAAAAAAAAGAAAAAGAAATAAACAAAAAGATTTCATGTCTGGGAGTTCTTGATCTTTTTTCGATCATGGAGCCCCTCCCCCCTGCCCCATGGAATCCTGTAAAGTCTAAGGACCCCTTCTTGGAATGTTTTAAAATGCATAAAAATAAGATATATAGGATTACAAAGGAAACAGATTACATTATAACACAATTACTATACCTGGACTTTGGCAAGGCATTTGGAAAATTCTTTCATGATCATTTTTATGGATAAGATGAAGAAATATAGGTTTGACTGACATTACAGTTAGGTGAATTGGAAACCAGTCCTAGATCTAATGAGATCTCCTCATTATGCAAATGAGGAAACCAAGCCCCAGAGTAGTTAAGTGACTTGACTATTGTCAGGTGGACAGTACAGGTAAACAGAACGTTGCCGGGATTTTCACAAACATAAACCTCAGGGGGGAAAAAGGGTTATTGGCCTATATTTATACATACCAAACTCTGGTTCTTTACCCACTCAATCTCAGTTAACACTCAAAACCACTCTGGTTATAATGATTTATACCTTTCACATAAAAGCACTTTTTATAGTAAAGGGATGAAATAGAAGCAGCAAGAGATGCTGTTGGAAGCCTCCTCAACCTCAGACTGGGGTCTGAGTCAAAAGAAGTTTCTGCCACTTGATTTATAAGAGGCTAAAGAATGTGTTAAGACAAGGCAAGAAGAGAAACAGATTCCTTAAATCTATCAAGGGTGATACATCTAAGAATCTGACTAATCATGTAACTTAATGAAAGAAATTCAAGTAATATTTGTTTGGAAAATTCCCCTCAAATAGCAAATATTTTGAATTAATGCTAAGAATAGGTAAAAAGGGATGCTTAAAAACATATCAAACTATTTTGGTTTGATAGTTTGTAAATCTGCACAGCTTGCCTATAAAAATCTATCCAAAATGTAAATTTTTGGGGCAGCTACATGGCGAAGTAGATAGAGCACTGCCCCTGGAGTCAAGAGGACCTGAGTTCAAATCCGGCCTCAGTCCAAACACTTGACACTTACTAGATGTGTGACCCTGGGCAAATCACTTAACCCCAACTGCCTAAAAAAAAACAAAAAACCAAAACAAAATGTAAATTTTAAGTGATCATCATTTGGAAAAAAAAATTTGTGATAATCTTTACACATGAAAATAAATAAACGTGTTCAACCAACATTACAATTAGGCGGATTTGAAATTGTTTGAAGTGATCAGTTCCCAAAGTGTGGTGGTTAATGCATTGATATCAGCCTGGGAAGTGGATGGGCAGAAATCCATCCATGGACAAATTATCAAGATTTTATATGAACTAAGTTAAAAAACAAGAAATCTAATCAAACAAAATGGTTTTCTAATGGAAGTGCCAATTATGTATTTCCCCCCCCAAAGTCTGTATTATTATTTGAAATAATTTGTGATGTTAATAAGTCTCTGTTCAAATGACCTCTCATAATTTTTAGTCACAAGTACAGAATTGAGAAATTCAATTCTGAAAAACTGTGAAAGAATTTTATAATTTCAAAAGGAGTATTTTTCATAACAACTTCCATCGGAGGCAGATACTTTCAAACGGAACCATTAAGAACTATAAAAATTAAAGAAATATATGACAAAGGCATGGAGGAATGGAAATTTAAATTGTTCTGTCAATTTACCAGGTATAAGGCAAGTTACACAAAAAGAGGAGAGCCTAGTTTACTTAAGAGTTTGGAAAAAGAAATACTAGCTATTAATCTGTTCAAATGTATTTTCCCAACAAAACACAGGCTAGTAGAAAACCTTTTAAAATGGGTTTTCTTTTAAAATAGGGTTGGAAAGGGCCCTTACAACATACCTGTATCAAGTCACAAAGTGTTTCAAGATTTTTTAGTTTGTTTTCCTCAAATGTCAACTATGTTTTTGTCCTAAAGTCATGTAAAAGGTTATGGTAAAATTTAATGAATTGTGGCACACAGGAAGAAAACATAAATTATTAATTAAAGGGAAAATATAACATTTAAGATGGGCGCAGCAGACATTTATATCAAGAAACTAAGCTACTACTTCAGCTATAACAAGGGCCAGGCCTTTGCATTGAAACACATTCTTTAAAAAAGTAACAAAGCAATGAATCATGTGGTAGTACAATTTCACTGATGCAGTTATAAAGGTACCAACTTTAAGATTTGTTTCTCTAATGATTTCACTAAACATTCAGATTACTTTCACTGAACTAAATACTAAATGTGTCTTACTTACCCACTGACACAGTTATAAACATATCAGTTTTAAAGATTTGCTTCTCTAGTGATTTCAGTAACATCCATATACTTTCACAGAATCAATATGAAACACATCTCACTTACCCTTTGGACACACCAGTTCGATCAGTGATTATCTTCACTTCTTTCACCGAACCATATCTAGCAAAGAAGCTTCTAATTTCTGTTTCATCCATCTATGAAAAAGAATTTAGCTTCAAAAATAAAAATTCTGCATCCCAAATTCCCGATTCAACTATAAAAAACAAGTCCTTCCCTCATTAACCCAAAACTGCACAAAGCCTTTGTCTCCAGGGTTTTCTGATCCAGTTAGTCAAAAAGAGAACCAAATCCAGGTTTATGTTAAGTTTATACAAGGAATAAACCCCACAAGGCTCAAAGCCCATTAACTACGAAGAATGTTGAATACCATACCCTAACATCAATTCCACCAACAAAGACTGTATTTGGCATGATTCTGCCTTCTGGTAAAACATATCCTTGGTTGGCTGTGGCTGATGATGACTGGGTGCTGGCTTCTCTTGAGATGGTTGAGTTTGGAGTCTCAGGATTTGCAGCAGACTGTAATTTGAAAAAAGAAAAGAAAGCACGCTTATAATAACCAACCACGAAACAAAAAAAAAATATTCAAAGTAAAATAAAATTCTAACTTACATTCAAAAAGCCAAATGTTTTAATGTAAATAGCTTCCATTTCTAAGTGATCCAATCACAAGACTATCTTGGTTAAACAAACTGGTTTTAAACCCAGGTCCTAAAAGGAATCATTCCATGGGCAAATATGAATTTTAATGAATAATGTAAAAATGATCCACAGTGGGACTAAGATATTTTTTCAGGCTGCTGTTGCTCACTGCCATCCCATACATATAAATGATAGTATTTTTTAAAATATGAAAACTTTGAGAACTGGTAAAAGAACAAAAAACAAACAGAAAGACTAATTTTTTAAAAAAATTACATGTAACGCAAAATGAGCTTATTATTTAAAAAGACTTTCTGTTCTATTTCAGTTAACAAGATTTTTGTTTCAATATGGTCATACAATAGACATGCTGAGCCCTAAAAGAAATCAAGCTGTGGCTAAAGGAAACTAGGCATCAGGGCATAAAAGCCTCTCCTTCCTATTCACCAATATTACTATGGCACTTGAAAATATAACCCTTCCCTTTGTGTGCTAGCTATGTTTTGGTACTGGATGGCAGAATCATTATTACCTCACACAGGTTCTAGCTTGTGCTATGTAGGGGGGCCCTCTTCCCTACTGTGATATGTCAACTGTCTTTGAATAGCACTTTCTTCTTCCTAAAAAAGCTACAAATCAGTTCTATGGATAATCCTTAATTTTCTCATTCTTACAATCTTTAACGAGATTGATGGGGAAAATTGTTATTTCTACTTCTCCCAAAACGAAAGGAAAATAAGCTACTGAAAAGAAACCAAGCCAATGGCAAACCTAAGACTCATATACACAAAGTGTCTTTCTCATATTACACCATAAGGATAATAAAAATTGTTCAGGCACGGAATTTAACTTTTAAAAATGAATCATTTTCTTTATAATTCTCCTTGTGTAGTAAAAACTTGTGTGTAAAAAGTGTCACAAAGTAATTTCAAGGTCACTAACTAAAAGAACACAGCACTAACTTCTTAATTTATCTTTCTGGAGGACAAATTATTTCTATTCAGCTTGACTTCCAAGAAAGTTTAAATACATCCCAATAGTTATCAAGTGCCTATATTGTAAGTCACTTTAAATGACAGAGATGAGCCTCACACCCCTAGCTCTTAAAGAATGGGACAGAAATTTTTTAATGGTATGTATTATGACAACAAAATATTAAGTAAAACATTCCAGTAGTTGAATTTTCAAGATATCAAGAAGAAAGATTTCTTATTTTTATTAAACCTCATAGCATCAGAGAATTTCAGACTTGGTACAGTGACATAGTAAGCTGAGACAGCACCAAAGTTTTACCACCTGATTTAAAGACTGTCTTCTTCATCTGAATACATGTAAAGATGTATTATTTGGGATGATTATTCGAAGATAGGAACTTAGTTGGGAAATGTGGGAAGAGATAGAAGGAAGGGGAATTGAACACAAAGCATTTTGATAATTAGGTCTCCACTTTTTATTTCCTTGCTGATTAACTTTTATGTCAATTTTCTTAATTGGAAACATTTCACAGGTCACAGACTTTTTAAAAAATCAGGAAGATTTTCCTTCTCCGCAGGTAAACTTTTGGTGTGGGACTTCAACTATTGCTAATGGGAAAAAAATAAATCACATTCTGCCCTCCACGATAGAGGGTTATTGTATTTTTGAAATGGTAACATACCTATGGACTCTCTCAGCTATTAGGAAAAGGGATTACTTATGCTTCAGTAAAAAAAAACCTAATCTTTAGGCTGTATATCAGTGAAGGGAGTGAGAAAATTGTAAACCAAAGAAATATTCACTTCCCTAAACTAAATCTCCTAACTCATAAAATGAGAGGTTTGCTCTTGGTTTCGAAGATTTTTTTTCCAGCTCTGACACTCTAAAGAATTTCAGTCACTCCTGCAATTCAGCACCCCCCGTCCCCTGGGGCCCCCAAGCTGTTTCTGCCTTCCCTGCCCATCTCTTCTAACTACACTGTCGGGGCGGCCTGGGCTCTGGTCTCCCTAGCGTCCAGCTCGTGACTGGCTTATTTGTGGTTGTTCTGTCGTGGCCGACTCTTCGCGACCCCGTAAGGGGTTTTCTTGGCAAAAAGAACACCTGGCGCCCGACATACAGTCAGTGCTCCATAAATGCACCGTCTCCCTGCCCCCGCCCCCCAGCGGGGGCTCTCCACTTCCTGGGCTCCTCGGGCCTCCGCCACCGCAGGCTACTTCGCAGCCAGCAGGTGGCGCCCCAGGCTAACAAAGCGCGGTGACCCAGGCGGAGTCGCGGCGGCGCGCGCACACGCAGACACACGCGCACCAGGCGCGCACACACGCAGACACACGCGCACCAGGCGCGCACACACGCGGCTCCGGGCATCACCACCACCCGGCCGTCAGGCGGTGGGCTCCCCCGGCAGCTTCCCCGGGCCCGCGCCCCCAGCCGAGGCCATGTGCTGGGGCGGGGCTCGGTTAAAGGCGGGAGACGGCGCGGCGGCCACGAGGACGAGCCTCGGGGAGGGCGGGGCCGGGGACTTTAGGGAAAACCGCCTGCCCTCCCCCCCCCCCCCCCCCCGTCACAAGACCGCCCCCCCCGCGGGGGCTCCTGGCTCCCGGAAGCGCAGGAAGCACAAGGGGGGAGGGGAGGGCGCCATAGGGGCTCTGCCCTCTCTGACCCCGACCCCTCCCCCAGGCTCTCCGCTGCCTCAGCCCCCCAGCGATTATTAGGTCATAAAATCACCGAATTAAGGGGGGGTCACTTTGCTTTGGAAAAGGGGCTGCCCCCCAATATCTCAGCGTTGAACTCCCTAGCTTTCTGGCACAATAAAGTCCTCTTCTAGTCTAAGGGACACCCCCACACACCCCTAACGGGGGAAGCTCCCCCTTCGCGGTCGGGGTGCCCTCGAACCCAGGGTCAAACGCTCCTCGGGCCTCACGGCCCCCCCCTTCCCTCCCCTCCCCCCGCGGACCTTCTCTTTCCCTCAGGACTTTGGGGAGGTGGGGGAGGGGAGGCGAGGTCACCACAGGTTCTGGGGGGTGGGAACCCCGGAAGGCCGCCCCACATAGCCGCCGAGGTCGGCCGCAGGCGCGGCGCTTCGAGGCCGGGCGGGCGGCCTCGTCCGGGCGAGGCGCCCCGCGCTCCCCTCCCCTCAGCGGCCCGAGCCGTCGAAGGCCCCGGGCTCGGCCTCACTCACCATGATCTCGGGCGGCGACAGCAGCAGCGGCTCCTCCCGCGACGATTAAAGCGGCCCCCCCCCGACGGCGGGGTGGTGTCTGCTGAGGCCCAGGGAGATTAAAGGCCGGCCCGGCCCGGCCCGGTCCGCTCCGGCCCGCAGCGCCCCTCGCTCGCGCTCCCTTCCTCGCCTGCCCTCGAAGAACCCGACGACGATCCCCGACTCTGGCCCCGGCTGCCCCCTAGCTGCGCCGCCGCGCGCTGCACCGCCGGCCCGCCCGGCCTGCGCCGCCGCCTCCCGGCCTCCCGCCCTCCCGCCCTCCGCGCCCTCGGCCGCTGCTGCTCCGCCGGCACAGGCTGCCACGGCACACTGCACAGGGCGCTGCCGCCGCCGCGGGCTTTAGCGAGCACCCGCGTCCCACCGCCTTTCCGGCCCGGGGGGTCGCGAGCGCGGGGCGCCGCCGAACAAAGGTTCCCCCGCCCGCTGGGCCCGGCCCGAGCCCTGCCAGCGCCGAGCAGCCCGAGGGAACGCGGGCCCGTCGGGACGTGGCGGGTGGACACCGGCGGAAGCCCGGGGGCGGGCCAGGCAGGGGGCGCCGAGAGGAGGGGGGAGCAGCCCGGGGCCTAAGCGCCCTTCAGCCGCGGAGTGGAAGCCCCTCGAGGGCAGCCAGCATCCGTTCTGTCCGTGTAGCCTCGAGCCTGGCACGAGAGCCTAGGCCCTCAGTAAAAGCTTGTTCTGTGGAGGCGCAGAGGAGCCCTTAACCCGAGAATCCCCAGAGGTGCCCGGAGCCATTAGAATGGGAGCTCCTCGAGGGCAGGGCCTTTCCCCTCCGCACCGGCCCGGCCGCCAGCACAGAAGCCTAATGTGTGCTGGTCGCTCGTTTGGGCGACTGACCCAAAAAGAGGGAGTTTTCAGGAACGGACCCGGTGGAGCCCCCTGGGGCGCCGAGCAGATGGGGGGAGAAGAGAAGCGCAGGGAGGGCAGGGGGCAGAGGCAAAGGGAGGTGTCTGCACCCCTCTCCAGAGGCCGCCTCTTTGGGGAGTGGGTCCGATTGGTTAGGGTCTCCTTATAGCAGTCTTGATTCTAGAGAATGGACCAAGAGGGGGAGGCCGGATGAAAGTGGACATGAAACGCACGTAGTAGGTGCTTAATGACTACTGCTTGTGGAATCGAAAATGAGAGGAGTCCAAAAAGAGAGGGCCTCATCCGGCTGATTCTGAACCCAGACTTTAGTCCTTTACGGAGTGGTGCGGTTCTCACTGAGGGACCCCCCGCACACACACCCTAAAGCCACTGAACCCCCACGCAGACGCGGGGGGGGGGGAGGTGGGGCTGGTGGTGACGGAGAAGCAGCCCTGGAGATAGCAGCGAAGGAAGGGAATTGACCCGGGTGGGAGCCTCCGCGTCCGAGGCTCCTGAGGGAGGACGTCTGCTTGCAGATCCAAGCAGGCTCCGTGCTCCTTCTTTGTGGTGGGCTTTGGTTTCTTCTTTCCTGGGGTTCCTCGTCTCGGTTCTGATCCTTCTTTACTACATGACTAATTGAAAATACGTTTCATAGGAATGTAGATGTAGAGTCTGTGTCAGATTGGACGCTGTCTTGGGGAGTCTTGCGGAAGTGAATGTTGAAAACTAAAAAGAAATAAAAAGAAAGGATGTCAACAACATCAACAATACAGTAGCTGAAAAGGAAGAAAAGTGATCGAAAGGAATTAGAAAAATACTCACTTTGTGTGGCTACTTTCATGAGACCTAATCCTTTAGACACGTTTTGAAAGTAGGTGACTTTTTAATACTTCAGATTTTGATGAGTTTTTTTTTTTTCTTAAGGAAACTTGGGAGACAAAATTGCTGCAGGCTTAAATCCTAAATGGCTGCT